CCCTGCCGACGATGAGGGCGCTGCGAGGTGCCAGCCGCCGTCTATCCACGCCGGCGCTCAAGCCACCGTCCGCCCACGCGCTCGGCTGGCGCGTCACTCCGGTCGCCCACGCCCTGGGAGCCGAAATTGAGGGCGCCGACCTCTCTCACATCGGTGCCACCGAGTTTGCGGCGGTCCGCGAGGCGCTCCTTCAGTACGAGGTGATCTTCTTCCGCGATCAGGCGTCCTTCGATCCGGCAGCGCACCGCGCGCTCGCCCAGCTCTTTGGAGGCGTGCAGACGCACCCCGCATACGCCACCGTCGAGGGCTTCCCAGAGATCACGATCCTGGAGAATGACCGCGAGCGGCCGTCGCTGATCGAAAAGTGGCACACCGACATGACGTTCCGACCGCGACCGCCACTCGGGTCGATCCTGCACGGCATCGTCATTCCCGACGGCGGGCGCGGCGACACCGAGTTCCTCTCGATGTCGGCGGCGTTCGAGGCGCTCGAGCCGAGCCTGCGGCGGCGGCTTGCGGGGCTCGAGGCGGAGCACTCGTTCGAGCACGGCTTCAAGGAGAGCCTGTCGCAGCCGGGCGGGCGCCAGCGGCTGGCGCAAGCCCTGGCCGATAACCCGCCGGTGACGCACCCGGTCGTGCGGACCCACCCAGAGAGCGGCCGGCAGAGCCTCTTCGTCAACGGGCTCTTCACCACGCGCATCTTGGGGCTCGGCGAGGGCGAGTCGGCGGAGCTTCTCGGCTTCCTGCAGGAGCACATGGAGCAGCCGCGCTTCCGCTGCCGCTTCCGTTGGCGCCCCCACTCGGTCGCCATCTGGGACAACCGGCTGACGCAGCACCGGCCGGTGAACGACTACTGGCCTTCGCACCGAAAGCTGCAGCGCATCACCATCGACGGCGACCGCCCCTTCTACCGCGCCGCGGAGGCGGCCTAGGAACGGCAGCGGGCGGTGTTCGTAGAATCGTCGTAGTCTAGTAGGCCGTGCGCTGACCGCTGTTGCGCGTCGGCGTGCCCTGCGCCCTTGTGGAGCGCAAGTTCATGCGTAGTGTCGGTTTTCTTCTTTGGTGTACCTGTGCTAGTGCCATGTCCCGTGCAATATGGATCAAGATTCTTTGAAAAGCGTCGATTTTTGCCAAGAGGACGATTTTTTAGCACCATTGACGTGCATTTCAGCCTGCATTTCCAGACGACGCGGGCACGAGCAAAAGGCCTAATGTTTTGAAAAAGAAATCAAATCCCCGACGCGACTCGGACTCGCCTCGGGGCAGGATGTCCAGCGCGCTGAGCGCCTACGAACTCCAGAGGCTTGACAACATCCAGGCGAACCAGCGAGCGCTCGCTGATCTCGGCCTCCCGGACGCAGCCGCGGCGGTGCGAAAGGTCAAGCCACGGGTTGAGCGCTCGAGGCCACCGCCAAGGCCACCGCCGGAATCTGTGCGCAAGTCGTCGCGGGTTCAAAACCTACCCAAGCGCGACTACACTGAGGTGAGTGAGACATCCGCTCTTGAACCGCAGCTCTTCCGCAAGAAGTTTCGGCGCGTGGACGCCCAGGCCGTGCGCGTGCGCGATGAGCCTCCGCTGAGGGGCGCGGCGGGCGCGGCGACTTCGTCGGCGAAGGCTCTCCCGCCGTCGCAGCAGCCCTTCTCCGCCGCGCGACGTGCGCTGCGGACGAGCCGTGCGCGGCTGAGCGTGCAGCACCGGGTCACGCTCCCCGCGATGCGACGGCTCGCGCGGCGTGGAGGTCTGAGGCGGGTCACGAGGCGGGAGCTAGGGCCCTCTGCGCCGTACTACGCTGCGCCGGTGGTGCCGCGCGAGGGTGGACTCGACCTGCGCCTCTCCTCGCGGTCCGCGACCGGGTACGAGGGCGTGGTGAGGCATTGCGTTAACGGCCGCGTCTCGTTCAAGGCGCAGGGGCCGTCCGACGGGGGGAGGCGGAGACATGGACTCCCTCGCCGCGCCCGCGACACGCTCCCACGGCGCGTGGCACGTGCCCGTAGGAAGACGCTCGGCTACTTCGGGACCGCCGTCGAGGCGGCGGTGACGTACGCGCGGCACTGCGCCGAGCTCGAGGCTTCGTCGGGACTTGGCAGCGGGAGCGGTCCGGGGGCGGGAGAGCGTGGCCGGCGAATGCGCGGACCGTGAGATGCTGTCACTGCAGGCGACGTGCAGCGGGAGTGGCGGGGGCGGCTCTTGCGCCTCAGCCGCAGGTCGAGCACCGGGTACCTGGGAGTGTACCGCTGGGCGGAGGGGCAGCAAGGCAAGCCCTTCAGCGCCTTCTCTCCGCGCCAGGGAGACGTGCGCAAGATCTGCCTCGGCTCTTTCGGCAGCCGCAAAGAGAGAAGAGAAGAGAGAGGGCGGCTCTCCGAAGTGGTTGAGTCGGAGGGCTGAGCCGTCCGCCCGGCTGCTCGCCCCTCAGGCAGCGCGCTCGAGGCCGCGGTAGCGTACGCGGACTTTGTCGACCGGAGCCCGCCCAGCAACGCCGGCGAGCCGGCGAGGGCCGGCGAGCCGGCGAGGGCTGGAGAGGAGCCGTCCGACGCCAGGGCGAGGGCGAGCGGGGGCACGGCAGCGGAGCCGGCGGCGGGGGCGAGCTCTCCGCCCCCTCCGCCTCGCGCGGCTGCTGCTGGACGCGACGCCGGCGGCCGAGCCGAGGCCCGCGTCCGCTTCTCGGACGGAGTCATTCTCCACTGGAACGAGCGGAACTCGACCGGCTACGAGGGGGTGGCGTACGTGGCGTGGCGGCGCTGTCGAGGCGAGTCGACGCGCGACCAGGGGAAGACGAGGCGCGGCACCGCTCTCTAGGCGAGGCTGGCCAAGCCGTTCCGCGCCGTCGCGCCGATGGTCGACGGCTTGCCAGGCGCGCCTCTCGCGCGGCGTTGTGCGGCGTCGGCTGCAGCGTGAACTTTTCTCGCTGTGACCGCTCCTCCCCTCTTGGAGCAGGTCCGCACCTCGGCTACTTTGGACCGCTGTCGAGGCGGCGGTGGCGTACGCGCGGCACTTGCAGGCGGCGGGCGGCAGGCACATTGGCGGCGGGGAGCGGGAGGAGGGGGGCGGAGAGGGGGAGGAGGGGGAGGAGGGGGAGGAGGGGGAGGAGGAGGAGGCAGCGGAGGAGGCGCCGCTGCCGCAGCTGAAGCGTGACGAGGCGCCCCCTGGCTTCGTCGGCAACGGCGAGGCGCGGAGGCGCCTCAGCTCGCTCAAGGACGCGTCTGCGATCCTCTCCTTCTCCGAGCGCCATCCGGAGGCGTGCCGCAGCGTGGCAGGCAGCGGCGGGGGAGGGCCGGCTGCTCCTCGGCTACACTTCGGCCGCACCTCGGCCGACCCTCGGCTGTAGGCGCTGGCGGGCGAGGGCGGGCGCGCACGTACTACGACGCCGCCAAGCTGGAGGTTTGGCGGCTCGAGCAGTCGCGCTCGCGGCGGCGGCCGCCGGCGCAGGAGGAGGAGGAGGAGGAGGAGGGGAAGGAGGAGAAGGAGGGGTCCAGGGATGAGCCGCCGCCCGACTCGCCCGCCGAGGCGTCGGCCTCCGCTGCAGCGCCGGCGCGCCGGCCTTCGCGTGCGTCCGCTGAGGCGCGGGCGGCCGCAAAGGCGGAGCAGGAAGCAGAGGGGGCGGCTGCCAAACGGAAGAGGAGGCCCGCACCGCCCGCGGCCGAAGCCGTAGTCGCCGTGGCGTGGGTGGGCGGGTGCAGGCGCACGGAAGGTTGCGTCAAGGAGTTCCGTCACCGCGGGCGGTGCAGGGTAGCCGCCTTCGAGGAGGTGGACTACGAGGTGGAGAGCATCCTCGAGGAGCGATGCGAGGCGCGGCGGACGCAGTTCCTCGTCAAGTGGAAGGGCTGGCCGATCAGTGACGCGACGTGGGAAGACGAGGCGTCTCTGAGCGGTGCGCCGGAGGTGGTGCGGAAGTGGCGTGCCAGGTGTTTGAAGGGTGAGCTGTGAGCTGCTTGAGAGATGGGGTTGGCCGATTGTGAACACACGGGGACCTCTCCGGACGCTGTCGAAGCACGTGGGCTGGGTGCGCTGCGGGTGGGGTCTATCGAGCACCGTTTTTTTTTCTTGGAGAACGCTAGGTGTAGGTCTCCCGCGCCGACGCGCGGTGAGTCTCATGAGCAGTCATGTGGTGAGGTTGGCAGGTTCGTGGTGTCGACCCCCCCGCGCCGGCGCGCGCCCGCGCGCGCCCCCGGTGTGTGAGAGTCAGATAACACAGAATAATTCCGTCAAAAAACGAGAAAAGGCCCCGACGCCGCTCTCTCGTCTCTGCTCTGTGCTCTCCGCTGGAGCGCTGGTCTCCCTCTTAACGTAACACCGGGACCACGAAAGTACCACAGTACGATTGTCCTAACACCGGGACCAAAAAGTACACTACGAGTACGAGCCTTTTTGAGGCGAGAGAGGAGAAGCAGAGCGCATAAAGTAGTGTAGAGCGTACAGGAGTGAACGTACAAGTAGAGCGGCGACGCACAGCTCAGTGCTCAGACCATTTCCATCTGCCGCCAAGAGACGCCGCTGCAGCGGTTCCAGAAGCCGTCGCACATCGCCAAGCACTGCATGGCGGCGTTCGAAGAAGGCCCCGCGGTGATTGCCGCGTCGCCCTCCTCCTCGCCTGCGCCCTTCGGGCGCCACTCCCGCGGGCGCTGCCACCAGAGGACCCAGCGCGCGAAGGCGCGCGGGACGGGGATGCCCTGCACCTGGAGGTCGTCGGTCCGGTAGCGCGGCGCATCTTTGCGGTCGTGGAGGAGGTAGCGCCGCGACGAGCAGTGCGGGCTGAAGAGGATGCTGTAGTCCTTCCGAAAGCTCGGCTGGTCCTCGGGCGGGAAGAAGAGGACGGGATGAGCGGAGTAAGAGCGGAGGACGCGCACAAAGTACAGCATGTTGTCCTCGCAGACGCGGGGCGGGATGGTGAAGAGCGGCGCGCCCGCGAGCGGGTAGAAGAAGTTGGGGAAGCGCGACGCCTCGGCCTGATCGCGAAGTGCACCCTCCACATAGAAGGAGATGTCGACCTTGCCGATCTCGTAGCCGGTCGCCAGCACGACGAGGTCCGCGCGCAGTTCACGGCCAGAGGCGAGGACGACGCCGTCGGGCGTGTAGGCGCGCAGCGGGTCGGCCTGGCCGTCGACCACCGAGATGCGGCCATCGATCACCGCAGACCGGAAGCCAAGGTAGTCGAACGCGCGCCGCGTGCACTGCACCGGCTGCCCCGGGCTGGGCTGGCACGCGGCAGGGAGAGGCGCGCGGAGCATGTAGTCCCGAAGCCACACCCACCACCGCAGCACGAACTCGATGCACCGAGCGCCGTCGAGCAGGGTGATGAAGTCGTTCCGCAGCTCGTACACCCACCGCCAGAGCGTGTAGAGCCAGGCTCGCTGCGGCAGAGCCACCTTTGAACGCACCGTCATGTACGGCATCGTCCGCCGCAGCACGGTGACGGAGCGGGCGACGGGCGCGACGGTGGGTGCGAGCTGAACCGCCGTCGCGCCGCAGCCGACGATGAGGATACGCTTGCCTTTGTACTCGGCCAGGTCGCTGCCGCACTCCGACGAGTGGCGGATCACGCCGCCAAAGCTCGCCTCGTTGGCGATG